TTGTGCTTAGCAGACAAGTGCTATTAAATAAAGATGAAAAGCCTCGGTTCGGAAGTACGGGGTGAGGGGAGGATAAATTTGGGTCTAAAATGAGGCACCTCCCTTGTCCTGGGCATCACTTGATGTCTCGGGCTCTGTAAGAAATGCAGGGTCAGCAGGAGCTGTGCTAACCAAAACGGAGCTTAGCCGACGCGGATTTGGAGCGTTGTGGGAAATGCTAACTTTAGCAGTGGACACCGACACGATGGCAAACACTCCCTGGCGCATCCCGATACCCTGTCATTAGATCGGAGCTGACTCTTGCTGTAACACCATACTTTTTTCAGCTTTTCCTCTGTATTGCTGTCAGCCTTGTGGGAACACGTGTTGCGCACAGCGGGGCCTGCCCTGCTGTCGGCAGAAGCTTTAAAGGGTGATGGGCGGAGGTTTGATGGGAACCAGAGAGGCTTTCCTTCCATGCGAGTTGGTTTTACCTTACGGTTTTGCAGGAGTTGCATTCGTGATGCATGACTTTCCATTCAAAAGGATGCTTCCCCCTCTCTTGCCTCTGAAATGCAACTGTTCCTTGCGTTTCCTTGCCTTTCCATTGCTAAGAAACCTGGGCACCAGGAATTGCTAAAGGAAATGAGATGGGTCAGCACCTAGCAGGGGAAGTGATCTCAACGGTCTGAAGTTTCTCAGATGGCTGGGGTTGTATTTTTTAAGTTGAATTCGATAGCACAGTGATGGAAAGTGACTTCCATCCCTGACACTTCATGCAGAGAAAGCCCGGGGCGACCAGGCGTAGTGACCAGTTGGCACATTTGCATCCTTCTCCACCTTCTTCATTTATTTTTTTTTTTTAAGCATTCACTGCTTGCTAGGAAGCAACATCTGACTCTGAAAGTCTGCAAACCCACATCCGGTTTGGGCCTTTCTACTGCAAACATCTCCGACCCCGTAAGTGTTTGGCTGCTGATGTTCTTGGTGTTGATTTCCTGTGTCTCTTTTTTTTGTTTTGTTTTCCAGCCTAAGCGAGAGCTTTTTCATGGTGAAAGGAGCGGCGCTTTTCTTACAACAAGGGAACAGCTCACAAGGCCAGCGGAGTCTGCAGCACCTTCACAAGCATGCAGGTGGTTGATCCAGTCTTGCACACCGCAATACCGTCTTCTGTTCCCTCCCTCACGCCGTCCACGGTGACAGGCGAATAGCCTGAGCGAGGAGGGGCTTGACCCGCTGTAGTCGCTGGAGTGGGTCCGCGTGTCAGCTGCTGAGTAAAAGCAGATTTGCAACCCACTTAGCTTGGAGTAGGCTGAACTGGAGCGTGAGTGTCGTGTCCTCATGTCAACTCCTGGAGTCTCTGGGAATTGTCACTCCCCGGAGTAGTAAATGGGCCGTCTGTGCACGTCTGAGCAAGCAGCACAGTAGGTCTTCAGCAGACGGGAATCTGCTGAGTGCCCAGAGCTGCTCTCCGTGCTTTCTGCTTTTGAAGAACTGCCTCTTCATTTCCATGTCTGTGATTTGTAACTACACCCCCTTCACCTTCTTCCCTTTTCGCAGAGGGCAAAAAGGGGAAGCCCCTACACTTCACAGCGCTTGAAAATGTGCTTGTCCCCAGTTTGATGGCGCTGGTTCAGCAAGGCATTTCAGCACGTGCTTGATTTTTAAGCATGTGTGTAGCCCAGCTGAAATAAACCCAGTGCTTAAAGTTAAGCAACGTACCTTGCTGAATCAGGGCCTACTGTTGAAATCATACTGAGGTTTTTGAGGACCAGGTAAGAGGTTTTGTCCCATCCGCACACCTTATTTGAAATAAAGGGGCGGTTTTGTTTAAAAAGTAACTTTCAGGCAGACCTGTTAATTGTCCTGCTATTAGCTTGGGATAGGGGAACCATCTGTAAAGACTTCTAGATATAATCATTTTATCTTTAATGTTAATAGCAGATATAGACTGTGCGTGACAGAGAGACTGCATCATGTATGTGCAATAAAACAAAAATACCCCCGCAGAAATCACATCCCTGCTCCTCTTCTGTGGAGTTGTCCGCTCTAGTTATTGTCACCTGGGAATTGGAGAGAAAAAGAAGCCAGTTTTGATCATGGCCATTTGAAATTAAAACTATTGACTAGATTGTTGTGGCTGGAGAATCGGGGTGGTGTAGGGGCAGGGGGAGAGGAGGGGGAGCTCAGGGTAGAGTGATGTGACCCTATTGAGAGCTCTCAGTTCATTTCTGGCTGAAAAGGGGCCTGGCCAGCAGTTACCAGAAGAGAATCCATGTTCTTCTGTGTTCGCTGTCTTTGCTATTTAACCAGCTCAAGCCATGGGAGGTGATTAATAAGTGCGGGGTGCAGGGCAGCAGAATGGAAGGTCTGTGCGTAGAAGACCCAGTCCCCAAGTGAATCATGGGAATTGTACCATGTTGAATGGAACGGAGGAGCCGCCTTTGCCTATGAGTGTGCTGCCCTCAGCGTGCGATGCCCGCGGACTCAGAAAGCTAGCATTCACCAGAGGCTCTGACTCAGTGGTCCTCAACCTCACGGTCCTTAGGAAATGCCAGTTCTTAGCTTTCTCTTGGTTTCTGATTGCAGAAAAATAATGGAGTGCTTCTTCTGCTGCAGAGAGCTCAGAAAGACCGCAACAGGGCAGAATGGTTTTGACGCTATGAATTCCTGTTGGAAAACTCTGGGTTTATCATGTTTGCACGCCTAACAGTGCTAACATTGTGTGACACCCCGTAGCACCCTGGGAAGGATCTCAAGGCACCCCAGGGTGCTGGTTGAGAATCACTGCTCCAGCTAATCCAGCCAATCTCTCAGCTTCATAGGAAGGCAGCTCCTCTGTCTTGCAATATAGCAAAGGGGGGAAATGAAATCAAAAGCCCATCTCCATGGTGTTTATTCAGTGGAGACTAGGCAAATGCCTGGTTAGCCCTGAGTGAGGCAACTAATGCAAAGGAGAAGAGAACAGAGCAGCTTCAAGCAGCTGTAGCGCGAAGCAGGATGTAGTGCTCCCAGCTCAGGAATAATTGCCAAAATCTGGAAACCGACAAAGAGCAGTTACCAAAAGAACAAAAAAGGAATCTGAATCGTAGGACATTTTCTACTTTTTGCCCAGTCTCTTGTAAGATTTAGGTCATTGTAGCCCTGTGCAAACTAGAACACACCCTGGTTTCTTGTCATCTCCGGCTTGGCCATGAAAGGCGCCAGCGTGGTTGTCGTAACAGCACCTTTTGTGCACTGATCCCACTAAGATGTGCAAAAGAGCGCCCCATGCTTTTATACCTTCTGCTGCTGCTGGTTTTGGAGTAAGGGTTTCTTGGAGGCAGGGAATAAAAAATCCAGGGCATATTGAGGGAAGGAGCATGTGGGAAAGGCACAGTGTGGTACTGTGTGTCTGCTGCTTAGTAAACACTCCAGAGCACAAAGAGCATATTTGAAAGCCAAGCCTGGCTTTTCTCTGTTTGTCAGCAATTTCCCATGCCCAGCAAACATCCTACGGGAGGCATTGTGCCTTGTGTGGAAAGTGAGGCGTGTGTTAGCAGGTTATTAGACATGGGCTGGTTTTGCATCCACATTCACGACTTGTTACCTTTACTTCTGTAGATCCCAAGCGAGCGGTTGGAGGAGAAGCCTTGCATATTTAGGCTGAAGTGCTCTTACCACCTTAACTGCGTCTAGTTCACCCATGGGAAACTGCTGGGTGCCCAGGCAGGGACAGTGACCTGAATGACATCAGTGGGCTAGAACCCATGGGCATGCGTGAAATTTGCAAGTTAGATTTATTTTTTGGGGCTCCAAATCTTACAGCAATTTTTTTAAATTGGGGAAATTCTCCTTTCCGCCCCAAGCTCCAGGCACACTGCCAGGTCTTCTGCTCACAGTCCTTCCTTCATGTTAGGTGCATGGTGGTGTAATTATGAGAGACTCATCATTATAATGGGAGCCTTTGTGTGTTTGGCACCTGCTAAATGCAGAGAAACAGCCATACCTTTATCCAGGGAGTGCAATTCCATTGTCATCTCAAGGAATTTCTGAGACTGCAGGGTTTCAATGGCTTTCCAGATAGTCACTACCTAGAGAAATTAGGTTTCTGTGGAAGTCAGGAGGATGCACAGAATACAGTGCATTAAGCAAAGATTGTCTTTTAATGGTTTCCCTTTGGTCTCTGCAGGTGACTTGCCCCAGCACCTCCAGGTGATGATCAACCTTCTTCGCTGTGAGGACAGAATCAAACTGGTGAGAGGAGCTGCCATTTGTGCCTTTCTTTCAGCCAGCAGAGTTTGAGATGGCTCCATAAAGCAATGCCATAGAAAAGCAGGGCAGGAAGGGTGTTCAGGAGGTCATCTAGACCAGCGCTCTGCTCCAGCCAGGATCTTCCATGTCTAAATCATCCCAGAGTTTGTCTAACCTGCTCTTAGCAACATCCAGCGATGGAGATTCTGCAGCCACTCTAGATTAATTCCATCCTCGGGCTTATAGAGATTTTCCTTATATCTAACCAAGGTTTCCCTCATTGCAGTTTAAGCCCAGTGCTTCCAGATTGTTGAAGCCATCCTCATTGACAGGCCTAACAGGGCCGTGTTTCTTTCCTAAAGAAGGCAAAAGAACAGATATTTTAACATATAGCTGTCTTGGTGAGCTAACCAGGCAGTCACCAATTTGCAGAGGGTGTAACATGTCACCTCAGGAGGGAAAGGCCACAGGAATGACCCCAATAAAGGTCACTGGATCTTGTAAGGATCATAAAAAGAAGAGATGGAAGAGGTTTCCTAGCACTGCACTGCATCCCAGTCCAGGACAACCCAAGTGCTTTTGTCAGCTTGCTGAGTTCAATTGTTGTTCAGAAAAACCCTCCATTGTACCTTCCTCTCTTACTTGAGCTTGTAATGAGCTCTTGGAAATGAGGTGGGCCACCTAGACAACTCACTCTTCCATTGCACCCTTCTTCTCCTAGTCAGGTCTTGGCTAAACTGCCAGTCTGTCTGGTGAAAGGAAAGGCAGGAGCCATGTCGGCCTGCAGGTTTGACACAAGCGTCATAGGGCCTTGGAGCGGAGCTGCCAAGCAAATAACAGTCGCAGCAACTCTCCAGAGCTGTGTTGTCTTCTTCTAGGCCGTGCGCTTGGAAAGCGTGTGGACAGACCGTGTCAGGTACATGGTGGTCGTGTACAGCAGCGGGCGACAAGACACAGAGGAAAACATTTTACTGGGCGTGGACTTCTCCAGCAAGGAGAGGTACGTCTGCGAAGGTGTCTTGCACCCGGCCGTCATTTTAACAAGACGCACTGTAGGTGATACGGTCTCCCAGTCTGGGTGAAGGGCAGGAGCTGGAGCTGTCTGGAAATGGAGCTTTGGTTTGACAGCATTGTGTTTTTCCAGGAATTCCTTCCTCCTGAATCAGGATGGAAAGCTCAAAATATGGGAATGATATTATGCAGTTCCTCTAGAAAGTACTCAGTATTCTGAAAGTCCCATACGCATGTTATGACCCAGAACCACCGTCATTATCCTGATTTCAGAGAGGAAGAAACAGAGAAGTTACTTGCTGAAGGACATGTGGGCAGTGTGATAGACTTCCAGGTTCCCATTTTATACCTCTGCCTTGCTTCACCTGATGCTGTTTAAGAAACAGGCAAAACCTGGGTGGATTTTTAAAGCAACTTTCTTTTTTTCCTCTATTAAATTGGAACATATTTTTCTGTGCTGTGAATGGAGATGGCATATAGTCTTAGGAGGGACTGATGCCACTATAATGTGTGATAGGATAACATTTCCCTTGGTAGCAAGGCACGGCCAGTGAGATTACTCTAAAGATTTTTTCTCATTTGCTTTGAGCTAGTGCTGCCCAAAAGGGGACGAAAGCTCCGAATCCAAAACAAGTGTATGGAGCATTCATCTGTGTGGAGGCCAGCCCGGGAGTGTTTGTTGCAGCTTACGGTTTTGAAATAATGGCTTCTGGTAGTTACTAGTTGAAAACCATCAGGGCAGATGCACCAGAGAAGCCCCGAGGTGATGGTAGGATATTTTCTATCACCATGAACCCCATAATACTTAGTTTTAGTGAATTAAAGAAATACGTAATGTAAAAACCACCATCTATCAGTATTGGCAACTAGGGAGCCCGTGGTCCTTTGCTGAGGCCAGAATGGCAGTCTGAGGTTGTAACCATTTTGGCTGCTAAGCATTTGTTCCTGGCCCGGCGCTGTTTCTATTTATTCCCTTTTCCATCCGTTTAATACAAAACACTTTTTTCCAAGAAAGCTCTGAAGTGCACGTTATCCACATGGGTGTTAAAATTGGCCTCTTGTTGCTTTTGATCTCTCATATCAATGAGGATATGGCTGAAAGAAAGAAAAAAAAATCAACTTGAATTCTTTGCAAACATGCTAATTTCCTTTAAAAGTTTAATATCTTGGCAGCTTAATTATTTACTAGTTGAAAGCAACTGGCCCACATTACAGTCTAGTTTTCTTGCCAGATTTCTCCTTGCAGATTTAAGCGGTGGGTTTTTTTTGGGTTGAGTAAACTCGTAAAACCCTTTTTAACCCCTTCCACCAGCTCAAGTGAAATGCAGTCCTTTCAAAGGTCTTTCCCGGCCTCTTTAGGGAGGCAGGTTTGGATGGTCTGTGACCTGCCAAGGTTTTTTGGATGACCTTGGTGAGTTGGAGTCCTCTGTGTCCATATTGCTGGGAACTGGTGGGCAGGAGCATCTGCTGCGTCTGTGTCCCCAGCTGCATGGGAATTATCCCAGGGGAAGGGAATGAAGGTGAAGCCCCAGGTGACTCTTCCCTGGGGTACAATGGCCCCTAGTGAGCAAGCTTTGTTTGGGGTGTGGGGTGAAGAGGTAGAATTTGTCATTTTGCTTTCCCAAAGTCGCTGCGTAGAACAGCAACCCTTCCCTGGTGACTGAGCAGGCCTTGGGCATGTCACTCCCTATGGCGTTGCAAGGAGCCAAGATGCTGCACTTGCAGTGGCTAGCCTGGGAGGTGAGATTTTTAAAGGAGGGTAAAGAAGATCCTTAATCTGCTGGCTGCTAGCTGGGGGTATGTCATTGTTGTGGCTTGGGGTCATATTCCTGATAACCACAGCACCAGTTTCTCTCCTTTTCTCTGGTAGTAAAAGCTGCACCATTGGGATGGTCCTGCGGCTGTGGAGTGATACCAAGATCCATCTTGATGGAGATGGGTAAGGAATGAAAGCATGCGTTGCCTAGAAGGACAAATGTGGGTGTGAGGGGAAAGCAAGGCGTAGGAGCTGAGGCTAACCAGAGAGGGGGTAGGTTTGATTTATTCCTTGGTGTATCAGAGGACTGTTCTAAGAGTGTGCCTCATTTCCAAGGTTAGTACAGACTGCAATTCTTCTGCCTCCATCCATTTAATTAATCATTTGCTTTTGGTTCCTGGCGCCCTCATGCTGTCAGATCGAATGTGTTATATCTTCTTAATGGTTCTGTAAAGAAAACCGATCTGTTGTAGTTCAGTTCCGTGCACTGCATGTGCAAGGCCTCCCTCTTCCTTGACATTCTCGTTTGCAAGGAGGTTAAGGCCCACATGAGAAAATCCGGCTGCGTAAATTCTGGTTGTGTTAACAGCCCCCACTGCCAGCGGTACCTCTGCCTTCGTTCAGCTTTGCAATGCAGGTGCCGCTGGCTTCTTGTTGGCTGAATGCAGCTTCTGATGCAAAAAGGAGCATGGTGTGACTGATCTCTCTTCTCTCTCTATCAGCGGATTTAGCGTGAGCACTGCCGGGAGGATGCACATCTTCAAACCAGTTTCCGTGCAGGCCATGTGGTATGTACGCTGGCTTAGTTTTATTGGTAAAAGCATGAGATTGTCAGTTCTGCTAGTGAATTTTAACACCCCTTCCCCCCCCACACACACATTTTACAGTTTGTATAGACGTTACCAAACACCTCTCAAGGTGCAGGGAAGGTGTCATTCCCCAGAAGGCCAAGGGTATTAGCAGGTCCCTGTACTGAAAGGTTTTTAATATGCATGCTGATTCATAACCGGACCATTTTCCCCATGATAGATTACATGCTTCTGTTGCAAGCAGATCTGTCCTCTCCAGCCTAAGCACTGAGGGAAATTACATGAATGAGACAGATCAGAATGAAAAGCAACTCAAAGGTGGAATTTGCCAGGTTGCAAACCCCTAGCTGCCTCTTCACGTGGTTTTTTTGTAACTAGGTGAAGAAGACATCTAGTGCTCCATGTAGCCCATCTCATGGAATTGCCAGCGCCCTGCGTTCCTTCAGGGTCGCCCTGGACTTCCTGCTTTCTCGGAGCTTTCCATGCGGCCCCAATCAGCTTTGATTACATTGGCTGGGCTTCCATCCTCTCACCCACCCACATGTACAGATTCCAGAGCAGCCAGACCAGGCTGTTAGAGCAGCCACAGAATCCAGGGCTCCTGGGAATGCAGATTGCTTTTCATGGCAAGGACTTTAGAATAACTGACCTACACAGATGACACGTCTCATGCATTTCAATGCGTGCCATTTGCTGGCTGTGTCAGAGGTTTCGAAAATCCCACATCGTGTAGTAATCAGTACGGAAAAGATGCGGATATGGAGAAAGGTATGATTTGAGGGGCTGTTTGGTACACAAACAAAACCCTAGTTATTGCTGCTTTTAAACTGTGCCCCTCCTGTTGGTAAACTCAGATGTGGTTGATGTGTTCACTATAAAAATCCTTTTCTGAATCGAAGGCTTCTTTTTTTAACAAAAAAGGTTGGTGCTAGAATCGACAAAAACAAATGACCCAATGTGGGGTGTGCTGGGGGCCAGGATTGCTGTTAAATATGCCTTTCAGCTTCTTGGGAAAGGTGGTTTGAGATGTCTGCATTTTTCTGCTTTTTTGGATTTGGGGTTTCAAGCTAGCTAACCATTAAGCTGCAGCAGGA